GACATATTTGAAAAACATGCATTTCAATACGCGGGTATTGTTACTTATAGGTGAGTAATTTGTTTATATATATCATTTTTCATTAGTGACTCTCAATAATGTATATAAGTGAATAAATGTTGTTTACTTCAATACGTACAGTGAATAAATTTGTTGAGTTAAAATGCCTCATTCAAATTTGAATAAATTCCGAATTTTCTAGAGTGAGTGATATGAATTTTTCAATATTGACTTTTTATTTATAATATATTAGCACTAAGTGAGTTAGTTTACATTAGCACTGTATATAACTGTACGTTTACAGTAACGAATTCATCTTTAATTAAAGCTCAAACCCCGTATTTAAAACCCAAACACTAAGATCGGATTTATGACTTGTTGGTCTGAGAAAAAATATTCAACGCAACTAATATTCCTTCTTGTTATCCGATAGTGGCAGCAATTCTTCACCAATCTATTGGTCTGAGTCAGGTTAACGTTGATTTATGTTCCACAACTGAAGTAGGAGCAACTGTAAGGTAAACATTTCTCTATTTTTTTATTAAGTTTGGATGAAAATTGATGCAAATAAAGCATCCAGTTTAATAAAAAAAAATTCAAAATGAATAATAATCAACATAATGATGTAAAACTTAGAAAAACTTTATTTTGATAAACTTCAAAAAATGATGAAATAAAATTTCATGATTACCCAGCTTTTTGAACATGAAAATATAGTTTGAATAGTCATTTTAAAATTTTATTTTTCAGAAGAACAGAGGATATTCACAGTATTTGGGAATTAAAAACCTATAGTTGCACATCTGTTAACAGCGTCATGTTAGTTAAAATTACTAAAAAAAACCTCAATCAAAACAGTCAGTGCATTGGATCTCTGAAAATTACTGGTAATCAAGGTGAATATATTTTTCGTGTTTATTTGTAACAATTAAACAACTTATATTTATTATAGAAATATAATATTGTATCCCCAAGGCTTGTTTCGATTTCCTTCCCAGTAATTTTAATTCATCACGTGGTTATTTCTCTCGAAACATGGTTATGTGTTAAACGTTTCATAAATGCACTACTTATCTAGCTTTTATTAGTTAAATATTTGTCTTTATGATCTCCTGTTCCGTTAATTAGGAATTACAAATGAGTTAGTCTCAGTTATGTATTTTAAATTTTGCAAAAAAATATTAATTTCCCACAAAATTACAAGTGATAATGTTCGCGCCATTCACCATACAAACAGTCATTGAATGTATCACTTTATTTATTTGATAAAACAAAGATACTTGGGATATGCTGTTTTTTTGTCGTAAATCTCTACGTAGGTAACCATTATATCGGATATAATATGTAAAATTAGGACCTGATACTCATATTAGTGTCGTATATGGTAAATTATAGGAGGTATTATCATGTAAAGGCACCAATTGATCACTATGTTTCAGCTGGATTAGTGGATACAGAACTGTGTGATTCCAAACTCAACGACTGTTTCCTTTTTGCCTCAAAAACCGTATCGGATGAATCTATTACTGACGGATGTAATGAAATACACCAGCATATCATTGGAGATAATGTTTTTCCAATTAATTTGACATACAAGACAGGGTATGGTTACTCCAATGAATTTCAAGAATTCAAAATCCAGTTAATACACCGGATATTAAACAACACAGGTAAAAGCAACAAATTAAGTATAAGCGAATTGAATTATTCTCTTTCAACTTAAGTTTTTCGTATTATATTCTGCAGTAATCTGAAGTAGAAAATATTATAGCTGCAAAAAGTGTAAACATAATATTACTTAATGAAGAAATTTGTATGCTTGCTGAGCTGCAACGATATTATAATAGGCTAATTCTGTAGAATAGTACAGTATATACAATATTTTAAATATATATATTATATACATAAATATATAAATTATATTCATAATTATATACATAAATATATACATTGGCATACTCAACTAGTCAATAATCTCTCAAACATTAGAGAATGTAATTTTAGTTTTAACGAAACTTTTCAAATATTTGATACCATAATTTCTTATAAAAATCTTTAATTGAGGGGTGATTTTGGATATATACGCTTGAATATAAAAAGGGTTTCCGCCAATAATAAGTGAACTGTACCTATTTGTAGAACTTCAACAAACTACAGCAAAGAATAGCGTTCCCACCACATCTAACTATCACACAACATATTCAGAGAATGAACCGACGGCAACTCAATCTGGTTATTTGATGAACAATACACAGAGTGATATAACCTCAATTCCGATTCCGGCAACAATGAGGGATTTCAAAGGTTATGATGGAAAATGTAACACAAAGGATAATTCAATTTTGATAATTGTTCTGGCAGTCTTGCTTGGTTTAGCAGTTGTTCTCATAATCACCCTAACATTGAGGTAAACTGCAATTCCTGATTTTTTATCAATTCTGCATGGTTCCAGTCTCAAGTTTTTACATGTAGCACTGAATTCTTTTAAGGAAATTGTAGTAACTTTGTAAATGGCCCTTTTATAAATGGTAGGAAGTATAGTTCAGTTCACACTTTTGAACCGCTTTCAAGCAAAATATTGAAGTCCAAACAGTAGTACAACTCGTTCTTATTTTTCTAAGCTCTTCGTTATCTCTATCATATGTGTTTAAGATTTTATCGCAAACTGGCAAACTATCGTCAATTATTGTCTACAACCTCAAAAATGTCTCTGGAATCTGAACCGCGGCAAGAAAAGGAAGCGCAGCAAGAGAACGAATTGCAGCAAGAGAACGACGAGGCCCAGGAATCAAACAACTCCGAAAACATTGAAGATATGTATAGCGCGGTAAACAAAAACGAAAAAACTTCAAAAAAAACGCTGAGTCGGAAAGAGAAATGATAGACAACGTGCTTAATAATATGTATTTACATTCATTTTGTCTCAAAACCCTCAGATTTGATTATTACTTCGGACAACACAAAACGTGCTTCTAATATATAGTGTTAATAGCGTAACAGCAAATTTTATCAATTTACAGAATGCTGAAGACTTTGATCTGTTACACTGATTTCTTTTATCCAATTGCTTTTTCTTTCTTTGAACACTATTGTACATATATCTAGGTTTTCTTTCCACGTGGTATATAAGTGACGTACATATACTGTATTTTATCATTCAATAGCATTCATTCTATCTCAGAAACACTTTAATTTACCAATAGAACTACCGAAAACGAGAAGCGTGCATCTTAATATTTAGCCCGACCGATTTATACGCGTTTTTTATGTTTCACGAAATCTTTTCGAACTAAATTTTCAAAAACTTTTGAATGTAATACTATTTTTTTCCTAGATATTTTTATACATAGTTAGACTTTAATTTGTACTTATGTTTGCCTATTATTTGTACTTATATTTGTATATTATATTTGCATGTAAGTGACGTATAAATGAGTTTTCTTTTGTTCAAGGATCGGTTTCCATATGAACCTTTAAAGAAACTTATTCTGGGAATGATTCCAATTTTCAGAATAATTCTTGTACAATCACTTATTAACGCAAACTGTGACGCAGAAATATGTTATAATCACAAAGTGAATGAACAGCATGATTCATCATATTTGCTCAAGTGACTGATTAATCATATAATGGCTGGTTAACAAATATTCGAATTTGAACTGTTTGTGGGTGAAGCTCTTTTGTGATTATCGTATTTTATTGAAGAATATGTGATGTGATGAAAATGAAAAATGAAAGTAAAAAATGAAGTAAAAATGCCTACAAATACGGCGATGAAGCGATCAACAGGCGCCCATATGTCAGTTGAAAATGTTTTATCATCATTAAATCACACAAAAATACCATTGTTATTTTCCACCTTGCTTCGAATCAACGCCCATATGTCAGTGGGAAATGCTTTATCAGACATCAAGATACCTAAAAATAATATTGATATTTCCCACCTTGCTTCGAATCAGCGTCCATATGTCAGTTGAAAATGTTTTATCGTCATTAAGTCACCCAAAATACCATTGATATTTCCCACCTTGCTTCGAATCAGGCACCATATGTCAGTGGAAAATGATTTATCACCATTAAGTCAACTTAATAATCATTGGTATTTCCCATCTTGCTTGGAATACGCAGCGAGCTGCTATGATATGAAAATACGATGTTGTTGTTCCCCTTTATTAAACTGCATCATTGTTGCTATTAAATAGCGAAAAAATTATATGACGATAGCATATTCAATACACACCAAATTTTGATCCATTAATTACTATCATCTAATAAAAATTGAGTATAAATGCCTACAAATTACGTACAAATACGACGAAGGCGCGATCCACCAGCGCCCATATGTCAGTGGAAAATGGTTTATCATCATCAAGTCACCTAAATTATCATTGGTGCAGCGAGCTGTTATGATTGGGAAATACCGTTGTTGTTGTTGCTGTTCCCCTTCATTATACTGCATGCTACCCTTGTTAAATTGCGACAAAAGCATATGTCGATAGCATTGCTCGTATTATTTTCCATCCACACCAAATTTTTATTCTTTTAAAAATATTCTATCAAAAATAGAGTAAACATGCCCACAAATATCCTGCAAATAGGACGGAGACGCGCTAAAACAGCGCCCATATGTTATTGAAAAATGACTTATCATCATCAAGACACCTAAATTACCATTGGTATTTCCCATTTTGCTTGTAATACGCAGCGATCTGGTATTTTTTGAAAATACCAGAATTTTTTGTCAAGCATATGCTACTGAATATATTACAGCTTTGGTGAGACGGCGCCTGTGATTTCTTAGGTGCACGTTAGGCCAAACAAGCAGGCTATCATTCCAACGTTAGGCAAATTAGAAATAAAAAACAAAAAATTGATAAATTAAATAAATAAATAATAATAATAAATGAATATTAATAAAATATTAAATAAATAATTAATTTGGTAAAAGCAGTAGTAAAACTATTGTAATTTTTCATGTTCTTGTTTAGCGACTTACGTCTAGCTTATAAAAGTATAGATAAATCAGTTTTGGATTCTTTTGCAAGAACTTATAGATCATAATCTACATAATGCATGGAAGGATTTTACTCATTTGCATTGTTGGACTTCTAATCCGAACATCAAATTTATGGTTTAGGTAGGTCGATATCTCATCGGGGTGACCATTAATGAGACCATTATTTGAAGTATTGATATTTTTGTTGATTCCATTGCTGTATTTCCTAAAGGCGGCTCAGGCATATGACGAACCACGCCACTCGTCTGGTTACCTGTCCATGTCGGGTATTATTTAATCAGCCAGGCATTTATTTGTTTTATGAGTATGGACTTGTTGATGAACCGCACGACGCTATGACGGCGAGAAATCCAGCAATCCACTTGTACAAATTTATTCCCCGAGGGAATTGAACCTGCGATCCCGAGCAGGGTAATCAGTGGTGCAATAGAAATAGTATTAAATTTAAATATACTAATTCCTAGATTCGTTGTTGCTGAGATATTCTCTTATCTTTTCAAAAAAATGACGGTGAACTGTGATTTTAAAATAGCAAGTAACGTTAATAAGATCAAAGAGGGGGCGTTCTCAAAATTAGACAAATTTATTCATTTGGCCATATTTTTGTTTCAATTTTTTGAACGCTCAATAATTTGGGACAAGAATTAAAAACTTGACTAAAACATTAAACAAATATCAGTTTTGTAACATTTTGAACCGGCTTCATTCTGGAAAGAACCTTTACAATTTAGAAGGTGTGGGCCACCAGGTTGTTATGTTTTAAATCCGACACTGTCCACGACAGACTTCATTATGTGTTCTAAAAACGAGCATTATATATCTGTTTTTCAGAATGTTTTTATTTTTCAGCGGACTCCCCGTGACAACCTATACCCGTTTAATGGGATGGGATGTAAAAGGTAATAACAAACGGCTAAATTTAATAATTGACAACAGTCGCTCAGAAAATGCCATATTTTATTTTTACCAGACATTTAGATTCGATTTAAAGTCTGTTGTTGCTAGCTGGTGTTGATGACATTGTTTATATTTATATAAAGTATCAATTTTACTCCCGGGATGTCGGGTCCGGGGCGTAACAGATTTGTTTAGTCAGATGTTTAACAACGAAGTTAAATTAAAACAATGAAAAGTCACATGAATAATGAACAGTGATAAATATTTTTAGCTGAGAGATTGAAGCAGTGTTACTTATATATCACTTAATAATCTGGAGTCGAAGTACGAAGTAGCTAGTCCCAATGATTGACGTTTATATACACAGGTGACGACGGTCTCGGCCTATCTTGGCGGGATGTCCAAAGTGATACTGCAGACGAAGATTGGAAAGATTTTTCTTTTGAATAAGAAGCCGAGACACCAATTACAGCCACTCCAAGAGAACATAAAATTTTGTGGCTGATTGATAAAAATATGGACAATACAGTGACATTCAATACACTGATGGATGATCTTTATACCAATGTGAATTCTTAGCCTCTCCTCTGTGTAACGTTTAAATTTGGAAATACATTCATTACTGAAACATTCGGCATTTGAACGCAAATTGCATAGATAATGCCTAGAAGGAATGTAAGGGAAGACAATCAGCTCATCAAATCCAATAGCATGCATGTCCGTCCAGGCTTTACGAGTTGACTTGATAATAAATATACAGCTACAGCCCAGGCTCGATTTCGAAACCAACCAGTAAAACATCTTGAAAATTACTGCAACATTCGATATTCAAACGCACATTCCATAGATATCAAATAAGAAGAGAATTTACATCATACAAAGCCTAGAGGGAATGTAATGGAAGACATTCACGTCACCAACTACGGTAGCAAGTCGGTCCAGGCTTTCTGAATTGACTTGATAACAATCAGACAAAGCCCAGGCTTGATTATAAAATCAGCCAGCAAAAAAACATCGGGCAAATTATAATCTTTAATCATAAGACCTAAGACTAACTCAAACGTATCACAAGAATAGGAAGTCACCAAGCCAGAATAAATATATAACTAACCACGGCCTCTCAAGCCTCTCAAGACCGGTCCAAGTCAGATATTGGGAAAGTTCAAAAGTTATTTGTCCAAAATGTAGGAAATTGTTTGAACATTGCCTGAGATGAGGGGTTTAATACGGATACAGATATAATAAATACACATGAGGCATTTGGGCTGAAGTTTGTTTGCTTAAAAATTCGACGTCAAATGATGAAGTTTTTTTGCACAGATTTGTCGTCGGGGGGCTTATATTAAAATCGATTTTATAATTCGGGCTAGGTCTTATTTTCGGGGAAATAAAGTAGAAGAGACCGTGCCATGATATATTCCCAACGACATCATGCGGCATCTCGAAGCCTGTAATTTTGCAAACGCCTAAATTACCGTTGGCATTTCCAACCTTGCTTATACACAGCGAGCTGCTATGTTTGTGCTATACCGGAAACTTGCTTAAGCCTAATATGCTGAAAACATACTGAAGCCTGCTGTATATTTTACAACCAAGTTTTGACGGTGCCTGTGAATTCTAAGGTGTACGTTGAGCCAAACGATCTCACCACTATACCAACTATTACTAAACAAATGTAGGTTTACTATTTGTTCTATAATATGTTTCATTTTTCCAATAAAATTATTCAATAAATATTCCATTAAAATTATTTTAAAGCCAATTAAATGTTTTGAACATCAACATTCCTTAAGTAACACATGAAAGTTTTCAATATCTGCATCATTTTTGAGTAATTGAGCTTGAAATATGAACCTGTTACCAATCAATTCCATGTCGTAGGACGTAGCGAATGACCTGAAGACCTCTGATTTTTCCGATTTGTTCATTTTTATGGGTATTGTCTTTCTAGTACATTATCACTGACAAAGACTATTCTGATCATAGAATTTTGTATTCTATATCAAAACCTGCTTAAAAAGTTTTATATATTTTTGAGTCGATAGACTTATATCGTTAACCTCTTGATAACCCTACGAGTTGCTGTAGATCACATTTTTATATCATGAATACCTCGAACTCAAATGGGAATTGGAAATTTGCGTATGAACGAGTCCAATTTAAATGTAGATTCATCGCGAATTTTTCATGACTCATTCACTTGGCATTAGAAATAATAGAATATCTACAATGCAATTATTCATACGTGATTGCGTATTAATAAATATCACACCAGTGTATGAAGTCCAAATGTACCTTTAACGGCGATAAATATTTGGTAAAGATGGTATATTGGGGATTGTAACAAATACCTGGCTGTACTGGAAGTGTCTTCAGACAATCAGGTCGAGATGTCGAATTGACTCCATAATGTTGCTTAATCACGAAAAATAATTGCACACGTTTCATGCTGAATGCAAAATTCGTTTGCAGGCATCAAAGTTATCAAAATTTACTTGATTACGATCTTATGGTATTTAGGAGAAAGTTAATAAAATTATAAAACGATAATGCTAAAACGTAAGCTTTTCAATTTTATTGACATGGCGCATGACATATATATTTACTTCAACGCTCTTTTATTGTTAGCAAAAATAAAATCTGCAGGTATTTGAAATTTTAAAGCAATTGGTCTAGTAATTGAAGAGAAAGGCGATTTATCATACCAAGAAAAAAATAAGAAAAGTATTTTGAAAACAACATAGTAACAGAACGATCCAATAAATCACGTCCAATAAATCTTGTCATGCGTTGTGACTTTTATAACGTGTCAAGCAAACAACATTTTGATTGGCTTCTTTGTAAGTCCACATATTGTGTGTGACTTATTCATGTTTAGGCCGATCACACCACACATTGATAGTCATAAAGAAGCTGTTAGTTCTTGAATCTTGTTGTCCTTATTTTAGTCAGTGTGCCTTTGGTGTTAAACTGTTTTAAACTGATTGTATCTTAACTTGAATAAATAAACAATACAAACGTATTATTATTACAAATCTGACAAAGCAGAACTAATAGTTGAGAACAAACGCTTTGCTAGTTTAGTTTATTGAATATTTTAATCAGATGCATCAGTCAAAATATAAAAATCACTACGATAGATAACTAATCTAATTTCTAATAGGTTTAAAAGTATATTCTCTGTTCGTGTTTATATTTCTGAGTTAGCGTGTATGTTTGTCTCGCATTTCCGCAAATCCGAAATATTTCTTCACCTATCTGCAAATTAACGAGCGGAATATCGTCACAGAATCCCATGCGTTGATTAGTAGAAAGGAAGTATGTAATTGTTAAATGCTCTATGCGTTGCATACAAGCGCAGAGCAATAATTAGGAATGGCGGTATTTGCTCACATTATACTATTGCTCACATTTATGTCTGTTTGTATATTACCTGCTGATGCATGGGGAGGTTACAGAGTCGTGGTGACACAGGTACATTATTCTTGTACTGTTCAGTATAATACAGGGGTGTGCAACCTTTATTACAGGAGGGCCAGATACAAGTAAGTGGGTGAAGCCGCCGGCCGCCCCTTTATTTAAGATAGCATTTTTAGTAGTTGCTGGCACAAAAATTTTTTTTTTTTTTTGTTATTGATCTCACGGAATTGTTAGGGGTTCTTGCGGAAATGATGAGTTAAAACGCATAAATTGTCTAAAGAAAACTGCTATGTATTTTGCAACAGATTTTTGCTAGCTAATATTTATGCTAATATGACAGTGGCACTCAAGTACTGGCATAAGCTTTGCGACGCATAGAGATTAGAATTGCTCGCACGTACTAGCTAAACTAAAAACTCGTTTCGCGGGCACACCATTCAAAATTGGCACTTTCGCGCGGGCCGCACAATTCTTCTTACGTGCCGAACTTGGCCCTCGGGCCCTAGTTTGCACACCCTGGTATAATACAAAGTAGTGTACGACAAATTTAATGTGCCTAGTAAAGCTTGACAATAGTACACACAAATAAGAAAAATTATTCAAGTATAGATATTGGATACATACGGGTTGGTGTATAGCGCCTTTCCCTGAAGATAATACGCAGTCTTGTTTGGACAAAGGCCATGTTAAATAAAATCTAATTTCAATCAAGTAATAGAAAATCAAGTAACATCATTTCATGAATGACCAAAAACACAACAGAGAAAGCTGTTTCGTGAAGGCTTTCAATAAACATTGTTTTTACATTTAGTATGTATACCCAGAACTAAAACATGAGTTTAAATTCTAGTTATATCTACCAAGATTAGCTATAATATACATTATACAATATTATTAAATTACTTTAAATTTATATATTTTAGCAGGTAGCTGCAACGTACACAGCTACTGTCGCCTATGCTAGAGCGGGCAGGGCAGGTAATTATTCTAAAGTCTGATATATGTTTCTATGCCAATGTTTCCAGAATCAACGTTTCATTCAGAGTCGAGAGTGATTGTCGATTGTAAATTTTTTTCGAACTCACAACCGAACATTTATGCCGTTCGTTGATCAGCACATATATATATATATATATACATGTAGAAAAAAAATCATTATGACTTGAATTTTTTTTTTGTGATTTTCCCAGCAATGAAACCTGGCAATTGGGAAAAAAGTACGAATGGTGAGAATAATTTTATAATATTCAAAATTGTTTCTATTATTTAAAATTTTTGACAATGATTTAAATCATTTTATAAATGAAATGGTGCTTCAAAGAAATTAAGAATCACACTTCTTATTTGATGTATAAATGTCATCAGTGGCGTACTCGGGATTAAGTTGGGAGGGGCGATTAATAATTGTAAGTATATGACCTCATAATAAATGTTTACTTTTGCATCCAAAATACAAATTTGCACATTTATAATGGATGCATACGCTAATCACGCGAGTAAATTTAGTAACTCGAATTTAAAAGGAAATTGAGAAGCTTAAAGGGGTAATAAACCGCCATAATATCAGGAAACGTAAAAAATAATGTTAATAATGTTGGGTAGAATTCCCTAAACCGCGATTAGCGAGTCATAAGTCCTCCGAGTCTCGAGTCCAAAGTCCAGAGTTGGACAATGATCGAGTTAAATCTAAATGGCGGTTAATTGGTGACGAGTTCGGATCATTTCGTTTAGATGACTCGAGTCACTTCGAATGTTTGACGGACGGGGAGTCGAGTCAGTGATTTTAGGCTCTCTAATAAGTTTACTCAAAATAGTGTTGAATTCCTATATATTTAGGGTACTCCTGTAGTATGCGAACCAAGATGACGGACACCGAAACGTAGTATGTGTTCCAGGTTATGGTTAGGCCATAACTTTATTCCAATTTTCTTTATTTTAATTCTATTACGAGTTCGGGGACCAACCAAGTGACTTCCGCAGTATTTGTACCCGAAATTATGGCCTAACCCTAATTTAGTTGTGTTCTACAGTCGTAAAGCAAAATGGAACAAATATTAGCCGTTGCATCAAAATAAAGCAAACAAACGGTGGAAGGCTACTGACTTAT